GGGGGGGAGGGGGGGAGGGAAATGACACCCCCCCCAACTTTCCACTGCTCCTCTAAGACACAGAGCAAACAAAGCAGGGGATTTCAGGAAGAGAGAAAGCATTCACATGGCTAAGGCAGTTGAGCACCATTTCTGCCAAAGGATCCCTGGGATACTGAGCCAGCAGACTGGAGAAAAATAAAAATGGATTTTAATTTAAAATTAAATTTTAAAGTATGTCACAATCAATATTATCTTCATTTTTTACCATCGAGCAAATGCTGGCACTTTTCCAAAAGTCAGTATTTCCCGTCTGTTATGCACAGCAGCTTTTGCAATAATTACTTTCAATTTTCCTAGCAGGTGCCAAGAATATTTTCTTCATTTAGATTATTCAGAGATAAGAAAATGACTAAGAGTGGAAATGAAAGAAAAGCTTGTTTTAGCCTTTCCAATCTATGAATAAAAAAAGGTGAGAATAAGCTCTATGAACTAAAGGATGAAAGGGCCAGATACGATATATCTATCTAAAGATACAAAAATTCCTAGTGGGATTTCTAAAGGCATGGAACTAAGTTATGGAAAAAGCTTCCTGTTAAAAATGGGAATCACCCAGTTCATGTACTGAATGAAGTGATCCTTTGGAAAAAGTAGTACATGTAAGCCTTTAATTACAGCATCATATGCATATGCCTATATGCACAAAGAGGCTGAGAATTAACCTTAAGTCTTACATTTCTTAATTTTCAATTACCTAATTGTGCAACACCAGTAATATTCTTTTAAAGTAGATTTGTGCATGTCTAATTTCCCAGGTTCTCCTTGTACAGAAAAAACAGAGGGAATAAACACCTTATTCACCTCTACAAGAAAACTGTTCTGGCAAAGTCTAAAAGTTTTATTTTTGTTTGTTTTTTCGTTTTTTTAATATGCACATTGCCAAAGAAAAATCTTCATCTCATCACTCCTAAACATAACTGTATTGGCTAACTTGCTTGAGGCAAGGAACAAAGACAGCTTGCAGCCTGGGACGGCAAGAATGAACTATGTAGTGGCCACCACATTCTCCATGCTTTCTACAGGAAACAAAAGGGTGGCTGAAATGCAGGGGTAGCCTCAGATATTAATGCTGCAAACCTGATGTAGAAAGCATATCTATTAAGAAAGGAATGTGTGTGGCATTTCTCAAAGAACAGGCTCTTTGCATTGAAGAAAACAATCCGACAATTTTACAGTTCAAGAGATGCAGAGGTCTGTATGTTTTGAACTCAAGAAGATTTTAAAACCAAAGTTAAATGGGAACAACTTCTGTGTTTAGACAGCCATTGTGGTTCTAACAGTTTGCAGCATTTAAAATGTAGGTCAGAAGATTACTGTGGATACTGAACCACATGTTCACAGCCTGACTGCATTTAGATAAGGCCTATGGAAGCTCACCTATTACTGCTGTAACAAACTTTGACTTTCTGCTACTCTTACTTAATAGGGGATAAAGGATTTAAAATTTCAGAAGCAATTCTCAGTTCATCAGCTCCTCCTAGTAGCACTGTAAATTTGGACACATTTAGGTTTAAGGACCTGTTCAGACCCTGTGAAAGGTCCTTGGTACAAATGAGAATTGGCTGTCCTGACACCACTTTTTTTTTTTTTTTTTTTTTTTTTTTTTTTTAAGGCCATTCATTTTCCCCCATTGTCAGCAAGCTGTTTTGTTTGAGCTAGTGTCAGTTGGTCAGGAGTTTCATCAGATCCTGATAGCCAAATTTCCCTTCAGTCTTGGGATAACCCCCAAGACTAAATAAATATTTTGTGAACATATCTTGTTTTTTTTACAGCAGTCACTGGCATCTAGTCACCTTGCAAGATAATTCTGTCCCCCATTGCAGTGCATATTTCTGCATATCTAGTTTTGAACACTATTCTGGGGAGCAACTTTCTAAGGTGACCATCTGTGCAACTGTATTGACAGAGCAGATGTAGACTGTAAATGTTTTCTGGATGGACAGTATCAAGTGACAGGCTGTTTCTTCTGACCCCGTCAGTGAAATCTTACACCCGCTGAGGCATAGGTGACTGGTG